CATCCCTCCCTTTCTTGTGGGATGTATCCCTATTTGAAGACAGGATCTATGGACTAACCTGAATTCAGATCTAATTTTACCTCCACTGCCTCCACTGGCTTCACTAGCCATTCACTTTACTACTCTCCATAAAGAAGTGCCACAAGAAGTCACAAATTATTTCAAAATTTATATTTATAGATACAATTATGGGAGGAGAAGGGCCTGAACACCCAAATAAGAAAAACTGGACAATGTTGCTGAGAATTTGCAGAGATTTGAAGGAAGAAACTCGTGGTAGTAGGTACGTCCTTCTGGGATGGGGTAAGAAAGAAATTTAGCTTTTACTTTGTACTTTTAAAATATTGTATCAAGTGCATGAAAAGCTAAACAGTAATATCCATAGATGATTAGTGCAGAAAAAAACATAAGGTATATTACCTGCAAAAAAAATCCTAGGAACGTAGTGTAGTGTTTCCTGCCAGGGTCTTCTTTATTCATATGATAAAAATCTCTAAACTGTATTCTCATGCTATATAACAAAATAAATTCTTGATGCTTCATGCATATATGCATTCAATATAAAATATGGAATAAGGAAAGGAAATGAGAGAAAAACAAAGATAAAGATACAACTCATCTCAAGATGGTGGAAAAGGTTTATTTCATTTATACATAAACAATGCATATGAAGTATGAAGAGACTGATCTTTTCCACTATGTTTTATGTTTTTCTTTTCTTTTGCCTAGAGGTTGGACTACATTAGGAAAATGAGAGAAAAAAAAACCCAGCAAAGTAAGTGATTTAATCACTCCAAGCACCGTTTTTGAAATATTCTTTCCCATTTCCAAATGAATTATGATGCTTTATTTCTGCATTTAGTTGCTTTGTATACTAAGGTTGACAACGGTTGTTGTTGCCAGGGGCTTAATTTATCTACGGAGAGGATTACACTTTCATAGAAAAGGTTATGCATTTACAGAAAGTATTTAAGGCAGAATACAAAAACACAAAATGCTAGATTACCTCAAAAAAAAAAAAAAAAAAAAAAAAAAAAAAAAAAAAGAAGCCGGAGAAACAGAAGGTAAACATACAATAGTGCTTAGGATGATGCTAAAAATAGATACACGTGCTAATAAGCCATAATTTTGGTTTTACATTTTCTAGCCACAAAGCAATAGAGAAACACAGTCAGTTACAGAATTAAAAACAAAAATCTCCAGTAGAAGTAAGATAATTGTTTGAGAATAGGGTCGTATTTGGAACTAAATTCAGAAGAAAAATTTTCCCGTAGGTAGTTGATATAACACACCAAACCCGTAGATGCTACAGAGTCGGTCAATACCTTGTCATATTCTATTAATATTAATAATACAGGAAGGCCTCTAGAAGGTACCCTGTTTCGAAGGGAATCTTCTTATTGGACTGTTGGAATTCCCCGCTCGCTTTCCTTCTTTCTCTTTCCCTCTTTCTTCTTTTACTTTTTAATCCGTCTTCCTGTTTTCCTCTCCCCCCTTTTTCCTTTCCTTATTCTTCTATTGGGTGGTTGCCCATGTATTCTCCCTCAAAGTATTAAGGGCATTCGTTTGTAGGGTATGTAAAAATTTGCTGTTCTGGAGGATTTTCATATAGATACTTCATCTTCATTGGAAAAGAACATGTAATGATTTCTTTTCCGTGACCTGGAACTGTTTAATTCGCATCAGAGATACCTACTCCCTCCCTGAAGATTTTAGAGACAGGACCTTGAAATCATCCAAGTCTCTCATCAAAGGAGCAGAAAGGGAGGGTGGTGACGATGATTCTGGGTCTTTGACAATTTTATTTTTTCCAGATATTTGGTCTGTTTTAATTTCTCCTCTTATGGACACTTTTGGTAATTCATATTATCCTAATAAATCATTTAGTTTTCAAAAGTAATTGCATATATAGTTTTCAATTTCCTTTTAGTGTGTATTTTCTCATTTAAATGTCTTATTTCATGGATTTGTATTTTTTCCTTGTTTATAGACTAGCTATTGATTTCTCTATTTCATTGTCTGAGGTAATCAGCTGTTTTATAATTCATTAATTTCTATCTTTTAAATTTATTCTGCTTAGATTTAATGTTTTCATTCCCTAACTTTTTGAGCTTGATACTTAGTTCACTTATTTTATTTTTCATTGATCATAATTGTTCTTTAATGTTTTATATATTTTGAGGTTATATTTTTGGTGTAGTGATACTGATGATGTTATATCTTCTTTGTGATTTGTTACATTTATCATTTCAAAGGTTATGGTTGAATTGTGTTGAATTCAAACTTATGTGACATTAAAATTGTACTTCTAATTTCTATCATCATTTTCCTGGCATACCTTTGAAAATTCCTTTATTTTCAGCCTTTAGTGCCTCTTGAACGTTAAAATGTAGTTGGACCATGTCAACTCATGCTTTAAGATCTCAGCCTTCTCTTTGCCTTAGCATTAAGTCATTCCCTTTGAGTCCTTTAGCCTCTGTCTATGAATCTTAAGACACTGAGCCATTTTCCAGTTTCTTCTCAGACCTCGCCATCCCCTGACCTCCATGTCCCTAGCATAGGAGTCTCCTTCTGGTGCTTGCAGTAAACTCTTGTGATGCTCTTCGCCTCCACAATTCTATCCTCTCAATCTGGAACCTCATTACCTTAATTCTTCAATTGCTTTATTCTTTGTCATCATGCTTTAGCTCAAATATTACCTGTTTAGAGGTTTTTTTTTTTTTTTTTCTCTGATCACTGTGATCCAGCACCAAACCACCAAACCTCACAAACACTTCAGTCACATTTCCCTCATGGCATTCATCATCTGAATTTATCTTAAGTATGTATGCATGCATTTTTCCTATCTGTCTCCACTGGATTTTAAGTTTCTTAAATGCAAGACTCTTGCCTGCATTTTCCACTATATCTAGAGTGTCTGCCTAGCATATACTTGGCAAACAATAAATATTTGTTGAAAGAAGTAAAATAATTTCAAAGGAAGGAAAGAAGGATAGAAAGAAGGAACTATAGCCATTTTATTTTCTTAAAACCGTACTTGAGATCTCTATGGGGCTCAGTTATGCCTTTCAAAGCTCAAGTATTTTTTTAGATAGGTCCTCTCTCTGTCGCAGCAGGCTGGAATGCAGTGGTGTGATCACAGCTTACTGCAGCACTGCAGCCTTGACCACCCAGGATCAAGGGATCCTCCCATCTCAGCCTCCTGAGTAGCTGTGACCACAGGTGCAGGCCAACACTGCTGAGTTAATTTTTAATTATCTGTAAAGATGAGGTCTTGCTGTGCTGCTCAGGTTGGTCTTGATCTCCTGGGCTCAAGCGACCCTCTTGCCTTTGCCTCTCAAAGTGCTAGAGTACAGGCATGACCACCACACCTGGCCTAGAGTATTCATTCTGGTCTAAGTTTTACTCCATACCTCCTGCTGTTCCACATAGATAATCATCAGCTGTTATAGGTTAAAATAATACGGTTTCCCTTGATTAAATAAGTAATTTTTATTGGTATGTAATTTGTAATCATTCCTTTTCCACCAATTCCCATATGCAATACTCATATAACGGATGTCGTAAATTCTCTTCTCCCTCACCCCAGTGACCTTTAATACATTATTCCCAAAGTTACTCTCACACAAACATGACTTCAACATTTGTAGAGATCCTAACCAAGAAATCCCTAATATCATCAGAGATAATTACAAAATCTTTCTGCAATGGGTCATACCCACAGAGATTTCAGGAAAAGAGATAAAAAACTTGAGAAGACCGAAAATGGAGAGGCACATTTCCAGATGATTCAACATTCCCTAGAGCTTTTATGAAAGCAGTTTTACTTATATACTTCCAAGCAAGTTTTAGCAATGTATTACATCGAAATTAAGTAGTAACTGGGAAAGAGCCATGTTTTTGCTAATTATAGAAAGCAGACGATAATCTCTAGTTCATATGAACCTACTTCCACCATAAGATCATCTGATGGCAGCATACCCCTAATTATGAAATTCATCTTTTCATATTTTAGATCAAACTACACTCCTGAAATAATGATCACTGCAATCTTTATTTATAGGGCATCTGCTATTTCCATACAGTGGAAAATAAACATAGTATGTTATCCTCAGGAGCTCACCGTACTCTGAGAGAGACAGGCATGAGCACAGATAATTCTGATAGCAATGCTAAGTGAAATTAAAGAAGCTAGAGGAGGAGCTCTTAGCTCAATAAAGAGGTAAGGTTAGGATGCCCCTAGGAGATAATGCCAAAGTGAGATTTAATATGTTCAAATTACTGAGATTAAAATAGGAAGTAGAGTGATAAATATCATAGAGGGGCACTAAAGACTAGTTTGCTAATGAGTAAAGAGGTCTATTGGAATCAAAGGAGAGGAAAGTAGCTATATATTTCAGGGCTGATTACTAAACATTTTTTAAAAATATCTATGTTCATATCTATCTGCATATATAAGGAGAACCAAACGCTCACAACCATTGTCCTAACAAAGCTTTCTTCCTAGTGGAGAGAGACTGATAATAAATATAAAACATAATTATAATGCACAATTAGTAATTATATAATTATAAATATATAATTAAATAATTAGTAAACATAATTATATAATTGCTATAATTATAAATGTATAATTATCTAATTAGTAATTAACTATAATTAGTAAGAATATAGTTACTAATAATTATATAATTATTACATATATAATTACATATCATTATATAAGGTATTATATATTATCAATTATATGATATTAATATATAATATGATTTTATATTATAAAATTATAGTAATACAATATAACTATTAGCAATTATATTCACTCCAGTGGTAAACAAAGCAAGATAATGAGTAAAAAACAGTAGAGGGGGTGATGGTCATATTTTAGATAAGACGACCAAGAGAACATCAGATGTTTACCTGGAGAATCGATTTATACTGACTATGATCACATCTATGGCTACAATTTGTTAGCAAGCTAACAGTGAAAGTGTACTTACCAACACTTGCCCTACAAAGGTCTGGGCCGAAAGCAACATTTCTATACGATCACGAAATTGTCCCTTCAAGCGGAGGCTTCTTACAGGGTCCTTACCGATCCTACCTGATGTGAGCAGTTCCTACAATAGAGAGAAAGAAATTGAAGATATGAGCTGCATCTCAGAGAAATAAATCTGTTTTACTTATGTTGATAGAGCCTCTTGTGATGGTATCAGTCGGAAATCATTCTACCTTGTCTAAACCAGGGAACCCTGAAGTTGCTTATTCGATATTTCATAATACGGATTTTACTGGATTTGCATTTTCCTAGTTTTCTGCACAGCTTTTTTATACTGAATTCTGTAGTCTTCCTCCATGTCTTTCTCACGTATACTCAGTCCCTACACCCTTCAAACTGACATCACTGCAAGGATCAGAATTAGGAGCAGCATGCTTCTTTCTGCTCTGGGGATAAACGTTAACAGTTTCCGTTGAGATATGTGGACAAAGAAAAAAAGATTACAAATTGATTTTTAGGTGATTACTTAAGTGTCCACATTTTGCGAGAGAAGGGGGAAGCTTTCAGCATTTTTGTGTTGCTTTTAGTTTTTTACCTGATGTTATATTCTGAAATTGTAATCCTTCCTCACATTTATAGAATATCTTTACTGATTATATTTAAATGTTATAGTAATTCCATATGATAAAGTTAGGCATGATTAAATCAATTTTCTGTTGCTATGAAAACCAGGATATGGAGAAATTGAATGACTTTCCTAATTATCAGGCAATGAGGAAAGGCTGGAGCCTGAGCTAGCATCCATTGTTTGTTGATAATAGTCTAGACTCACCACAAGGAAATATCTGAACCAACTAGGACTAGCCATACCAAGCTGCCTGAGTCTCTCTGACTTTCAAAAAAGCTCATTTTATATAAACGCAGAATTTCAAAATCACTTAATTTTTCTACCCATATTCTCTGAATGATAGGAAGGAAAGTCTCATTAAAAAATGCTTCGATAAAGTTCACATCCTGATCAATGATTTGTCCTCTATTACTCAATGACTCATGTGTGCTCCTAAATGTTGTCTGAGAACTAATTTTAAAAAATACGAGGTATGACATTAGTACAGAACACTCATTTGAATCCCATCATCGAATTGGAGCTACCTTCTGTGGAAAAACAAATTCGTCCTAAGATATAATAAAATCATGCTTATAGATGGAATAAATGTTTTAAAATGCACATTTAAAGAGATAAATTATATCTCTCCAAATACTTTTTTAAATAGCTCTTCACAGTACACCTAGATTTCTGACTTTTTGTTTTGTTTTGTTTTGGTTTTACATTTGTCCAACTTCTCCAAAGGCTTAGAGAAAAACAGGGCCCTCTCAATTTAATGAAACAAAACAACTTACTGAAAAGTAACTCAACTTTGATCAAACTCTTTCCTCAAGATTCACAAGCATTCTGGTTACTCAGGCTCACTTCTTAACATTTTGTAACATTTGCTAAATATTTGTAAGTATAGGCTACATCTGGATTGAAGCATAGAGGTAAGTTACACCCAAAGTGAGAGATGAAAAATACAGAAAATTGAAAAATGTACTCTCATATTTTTGTAATCACACAAAAAAGAACATGATAGAGAAGAGCATTGCCTGGAGCATAAGACTAAGAAGATTTAAAAATCCTACAAATTGAGTTGTGCATTAAAAACAAAACAAGGTAGAAACCAGGAGGCAGATTCATCATAGCTATTTACCCATGAGTCAATATCCTACAATTCTTTCTACAATTGTTACACCACTGTTCAAAGTCCTTAATGTAGAAATAATCAATAGAGAAAACTTGTTTGGGAGCAGAATCTATAAGCTTCAATTTTGGATAATTTTCAAATACAGAAATCAAAATTCCATATTACCAATAACCTTAAAATTTTATCAATTTATACATTATATTATTTTATGTAGATTTTTAGCACTAAAATAAACGTTTTAAGTAAATTTTCAATATTATGATGCACAGGTGAAATGTGTTCTGTTATGGAAATTGGTATAATCTATTAGAGAAAGAAAGTTAGAGAAGCAAAAATGGAAACAAACTACACAGAGTAAATAAAACTCTTTGCCTTTGACCTCTGGTAATAGAACATCCATTACACAGCATTTGAGAGCTTTATTTCAAGCTCTTAAGCAATGCCTTATCTGTATAATACATTATTTATTCTCGTCATCATTGTTTGCCAGCTGTTATCTAACAACATCAACTCCTGCTAAGCTCGTTTGGGTATAAGAAGTGTCCTTGCATTTATGGCTGGATGGTGCATGCATGTGTGCGTGGGCTTCTGTGTGTATGTGCAACTCAATGTGTTGCCTTTACATGGTATACAAAAGGCAATGTATGCATGTCAGTACATATGCATTATGCACAAACGATTTATGAAAGTGGGGTTGACGTTGATGTCTTGTTCTTTTTCACCTCCTTTCTACGACCTAGCACAGTTGTCTTGTTAAGATTCAAGATAGAGGCATGGACATAATGTTTATGAACCTTTTTTTCAGAACAGTGACCTCTGTTTCCAGAGCTAACATTAATCATCATCCACATAAGACACTGCTTTTTCCAGTGATAGGAGAAAGAAGAGGCCTGGCCCTGTCTCTGCAGGCTTCAGAATGTGGCTTGGGGTCTGGCTTACTACCCTTTCTGAGGCACCAGGCCATAGATGCTGAATCTGTTAGCCTGAAATACTGAATGAAGCCCAGATCTTTTGCTAAACACAAACCTACCCCAAACCCATCTCTGACTTCACACACAGGGATCCCTGATAAGGAAACTGACCAAGATAATTCCTGTTGCCTTGTTGATTTGCCGTTTTTTAGCAGCTCTCCAGATCATCCTGAAGATCAACAAGATGATGAGTCCACTGAAGAAGGTTAAAAAGGAAGAGAGAATGAATGCTGTTTGGATCTCAGTTGTACAGGAAATTTTTGCCACGTCTTCCCCATTTTCATCTTTTAGTTTAGTCTGAACTAAGTCTGAACTTAGTCTGAACATGTCTGAAACCTGTTTGAGACATCAGTAGACAGAATTGCTGGGCCATTTGATGACATAGTGGTCACCTGGTAACAATTCCAGGAGTCAGAGTTCACTGTACCACAGTGTTCCAATGCTAGGTGTGATAACCAGTGAGTAGTTCCACCAGGTCTGCCAAACCCCTGGTGCCAGCTCTTGGGTTGTGAATGAATACACAACTGGAGATGGCTGGGGCCTACAATGTGAGTAGTAAAAAAGCCAGAATCCTAGAACTGATTGTTACTTTCTCTGTGCCTTGAGGAAATCCGATTCTCTGTAGCAATGATCAGCTGGTTATCTGTTAATGCAGTGAAAGAATTTCAAATCAACTTCTTTTGAGTGAAACGACAGCCAACTACGTGTGTGAATGAGTTGATTCTCCATCTGGGAGGATGCCACGTTCTTAGTAAGCTTGGAAGGACAGAAGAGAGAAGTACTTTAAGGTTTTTGTTTATCCTTTAAACAAAGGAGCAGATATGCAGGATTACTAAGTCTAGAAGATCTAGTGTACAGAACAAAGACTAAAATGAATGAAATTATTTTGTCTTCATGATTTTTGCTGAAAGAGTAGATTTTAAGGGCTCTTGTTGCATACACGCACAAAAGATGAACTACGTGAGATGATAGATACGCGAATTTGCTGGACTGCCGTTGCTATTTCAGTATGTGTAAGTATATTGAAAGAGCATTTTTCATTTGTGCTCATATGTGGGAGCTAAAACAGCGGATCTCATAAAGTTAGAGAGTAGATGCATGGACATTTAAGGCTGGGAAGGAAAGGTGGCAGAAGAAAGAATTGGGATAAAGAGAAGTTGATGAATGGGTATAAATATTTGATTTGATAGAAGAATAACATGTAATGTTCGATAGATCAGTGAGGTGACTACAGTTTATGATAATCTATTGTACATTTCAAAATAGCTAGAAGAGAATAATTTGAATGTTTCTAGCATAAAGAAAATACAAATATTTAAGTTGATTGATATCCCAAGTACACTGACTTGCTCTTTACAAATTATGTGAATGTATTAAATTATCATATGTGCCTTGAAAATATGGGTATCTATGATGCATCAATCCAAAAAATATCATGTTATACTCCTTAATTACACACAATAAAAATCAAGATTACCTTGAAACAGAAAAAAGGGATTTTGCTTATTCTTTACATAAGAAAGGCATAATGTAGAGATGCTGGTGTTGAAAAGGCAGTTTAACTAGTGTTGTCATTGGTTGATTGCTATTTCAGCCCATAAATCTGTTCCACTTATCTTTTCTTTATGGAAACTTCCCCTTTCTTGCTTTTATTACTGCCCTGGCAGCAAAACTTTTGGCCCAGCAGAGGTAAAGTTCAGAATGAGAGAAATTTCTTTGATTTTCCCTGATGTTTTCAAAGGTGTAAGAAATGTCACGCCTTTCAGTGTGCACGAGTGGCAGGTGAAATGTCAGAACCCAGTGGAGGGCCTCGTTCACCCCAGTTATTACGAAGATGACCTGACACCAGGTGAAGAGACCCAAGAGAAATCACCGCGCTGTCCTTGGGAACCCATCACGACTCTGTGCTGTTGGGCAGGCTGTTTCAGAAGATAACGGTAGCATTTCCTAGGACAGCTGCCACAATTACATATCCTTCCTTTAAGCTTACCTATCATTTCTACAAAATCCTGTCATTGAGTGGCATTTAAAAGGATACTGGTCTAGGAGTTAGGAGCCCTGCATTCCAGCCCAGTCCTTCTATTAAGTCACTGTGTGATGTCTAACAAGTCATTTAAATTTTTGTAGTCTTTTGATTTTATGTGGAAGATAATACCTACCTGATAGTTACCTGTGGGGATTCGAAAAGGTAGTGTGAACATATTTTGAAAAGCATAAAACTCAATATAAGATGCCGTTAGCCATTTCTGCTCCTTTTTTGAATGACATTAATTATTTAAAAAAAGGAGGAGGAAGAAAGTAAAGGGATGAAGGGAGAGAGGGAGGGAGGAAGGGAAAGAGGAATGAAGGAAGGAAGAAAGGGAGGGAAGGAGGGGAGGAAGTAAGGGAAAGGGGGAGGAATCACTTGTTAATCTCTCTCGCGTGTGTGTGTGCACACTCATGCATACACACACACACACACACACACACACACACACACACACACACCTATAGCTATTTGGACAAGATCAGAGTTTCCAAGCCAAAATTCATCCACATCCTTTACTTAGTATTTTCCCTCTTAAGTAATGATTAAACTATCATTATTCACTTTAATTTTCTCATGTTCTTCACTTTTGCTATTTACTATTTCTTAGGATGGAGAAAAGATACAGAGATCAGGCGGTGGTCAGTCGGCTCAACAGCAACACAGGCTTATTGAACAAAGGCTTGCAGAGGGGGCACACCAGCTAGCTGGAGTCCAAGCCCCGCTTACAGCCTGGAGCAGTTGTAGGTCTGGACAGGGGACGTGGGGCAGTATGAGTAGCTGAACTGCAGGATACGATAAGGGAGGAATTTCTTGCAGTCAGATGGTTAGGCCTGTGGCCTGCCAGAATGTTTCTCATGGCCCAAGCCCCTCCCATGGAATTTTTCAACCCTAACCATAGTGTGCAAAATGGCAGGGGTTTACAGGATGGCGCTGGTTGGGCTAACGCTATTTTCAATGTATTTTGATTCTGCTGTATTATGATGCATCCTGGGCATCTCTTCCTTTGTTGCAGATATTGCTCGATGAATCCATAAAAGGGATTCCATTCAATTCAAACAGGCAGGTAGTTTGTCTCTCTAATACTCTGTTATCGTAATAATAATACTAGTAATAATACTAGTAATAATAATACTAGTGTCTGCAAACGAGTGGAAAATTGTACAGGTGGTTTCAAAGTCAGTCTCTTCAAACCCATCTTGAACCTAGCATGACCAACAGTCGCTGTTCAGAACTATTCCAAGTTCAAAACTGAACTTTCCAGTGCCTTGAGAAACCGCCCAGTCCTGGCAAACTGCAGCGACTGGCCACCTGCATCCCAAGACACGTCATCTACGCCGTGCTCCAATTACACTGCCTCCTCTTAGCCACGAGGACATGCAAACCTTTTCCTTCTCCAGGCCCTTACAACGCAATGCTTCTGTTCCCTCTGCCCAGAGCACTCACTGCAGTAGTGTTTGCTATTTTCTTGTCCTTCAGTTCTCCCTTGGTCTCTCACATGGCATTCTGACCCTTTCTTTTATAGCACTTCATAGGACTCAAGATTTGTTGTTATGTGACTTACTTGTTGCCTGGTTTGTTTTCTGTCTCATTTCACAAGACTGTAAGTTCCACAAGTGCAGGATATCATCGATGTTTTAGTTGTCACCGATTACTCTGTGTCTAGTATTGTACCTGGCACATGCCTGGGAATGTGTATAGACTTTATAAATATTTGGTGATTGAATGAATACATTGTTGAGCCTCAAAAATATTTGTTAGGTGAATGAAATACTAAATCTGCATGAACCTTAACCCAAGTTATCCAGACTTCTCTGCTGCATATTTCTCACCTCTGACTGCAGACTCTTCTTGTGACAAAAGCACCATCCAGAGTGTGTAATGCATGGTTCACAGTGTGTGTGCATGTGCATGTGTGTGCGTGTGTGTGTGTGTGTAATGCATGGTTCATAGTTGTGTGTGCATGTGTGTGTGTATGCATGTTTCACAGTGTATGTGCATGTGCGTGTGTGTGTGTGTGTGTGTGTGTGTAATGCATGGTTCATAGTTGTGTGTGCATGTGCATGTGTGTGTGTATGTGTGTGTGTAATGCATGGTTCACAGTGTGTGTGCATGTGTGTGTGTGTGTAATGCATGGTTCACAGTGTGTGTGCATGTGTATGTGTGTGTGTAATGCATGGTTCACAGTGTGTGTGCATGTGCATGTGTGTGCGTGTGTGTGTGTGTGTGTGTGTGTGTGATGAAAAGGACATCTGATTTGGAAGAAGTGTCCCCATCTTTGCAAATTTATGGCCAGGTGCAGTGGCACATATCTGTAATCCCAGAACTTCAGGAGGCCAAGGCGAGTGGATCACCTGAGGTCAGGAGTTTGAGACCAGCCTGGCCAACATGGTGAAACCTCCTTTCTATTAAAAATACACACACAAAAAAATTAGCCAGATGTGGTGGTTGATGCCTGTAATCCCAGCTACTCAGGAGGCTGAGGCAGGAGAATTGCTTCAACTTGGGAGGTGGAGGTTGCAGTGAGCTGAGATCATGCCACTGCACTCTAGCCTAGGCTACAGAGCATGATTCCATCTCAAAAAAAAAAATTGGTAATTATTTTCAGTTATTGAGTTATTTGGTGATGGGCGACATGTGACTAGGCACAGATCTTTGTAGCCTGGTAGTAGTTGAGTATTCAGAACTTGGAAGGTAGAGAACTTTGAGGCAATACTACCCTTCACAGGAATGAAGGTAGTATTCTCCTTGTCCTTGATGGTTTGCTAAAAATAAAAAATAATAACTTTTTTTGACTACCAGCTGCAAGCTAGAATCTTTGTCAAGTGTGTGTGTGTGTGTGTGTGTGTGTGTGTGTGTGTGTGTGTTGAACAACTACCTTATACCAAGCACTGGGAGCACCAGGGTCATCAGAACCAATCTAATTCATTCCCTCACAGAGGATAGAGTTAACTGAGGAGGATGTTTACAATGACAAACTGCAAAAAGTGTTTAGAAAATAAACTAATCTAGTGAGAAGAGAGGTCAAGAAAGCTACCTCAAGTACGTCACGTTTGATGCTGAGGTCTGAAGGATGGGAAGCTTCCCAGGCCAGGACCACTAAGGGCTTAAGGAGGCTGGGGTAAGCATGATCAGGCAGAGAAAATACGTGGGAAAGAGAATGAACTTCTGAAGGGCATTCCATTGGCCAGATGGAAAGCAGTGGCCCAAGAGAAGGCTGGGCCTGCCTAAAGGTGTTGCAGGACTTTTCTTTAGTTTGGCTAAAGACAGGATCTTTGTCCCACGGCCATGAAAATTTAGG